TTAGACTGAGCTATGGCATTTGTGAGTGTCCTTCCCCATGTATCTGACACATGAGATCACTTGTTAGTACTGACATCACTGATGTTAGTATAGTGTTTAATATAACATGCACTGTTTGCACTTAGTAAACAAACAAGCCACAGGAGAAATGAGATGTCCTGAATAAGAGTGCAAACAAGAGTGCCAAATCCACTTTTCCTCTTCTAAGGAACAGGAACTGAGTTTGGCCAGCCGTATGGGGTCATACCCTGCTCTGCTCTGCCACACTGCTGGGCTTGCCTCCTCTGCATCTTGTCGGGATGCTAGCTACGTCACTTACAGAGAAGAGAACCTCTATTCTATTGCTTCTCTGAGGCAAGTGGAGGTGAAGACTTCATACCTGGAATCACCTCATGAAGAAGTATACAAATATATTTGGAATTCTCACTTCAATCCAGCTCCTTTATATATTGTTTACTCTTGGAAGTTAAATTACCAGCATGTACATCATAAAAAGTAACACGAGTGATTTGGGTGTTTTTATACTCCTAAGACATGGGACCACGTTGTCACTTCTACATGACATGATGCTAACTGTGATTTATGAGGGTCTGGTAGCCTCACCTATCACCCATCTGTCACTCTGGTATATTTTGACATCTTCAGTGCTTGTTAGTGAGAGAATAAAGATGCTAGATATGACACTCTGGCATGACCTCTATATTACAAATCCTTAGAAGTGTTCAAGGGGGATGATCCCATTTGAACCTTGCTGCTGCATTTTTTCAGTTCAGTGTGTTCTGTGGAGGCTCAGCAAGTTAACAGCTCAAAATATGAGAGAGGAGACCAAACTAATTTCAGTTTAAGAAGTACTGTGGGCTACTTGCCCTGGCAATTCTGGAAGTGCACAGGGCATTTGTGCTTATGTGCAGGAAAAATAAGGGAAAACTTGCCACTGTCACCAGTGTTATTTTTTATTAATTTGTTATTAATATCTAATATGTAATTTGTTATTGTGCCATAGAGTCTATTTATTGATTTATTTGGGCTGGAAGAATATGACTGATTCTAAGAGAATGTCTTTGTCCTTACCATGGAAAAAATGAATACTCGGTTTTGGACTCCTCAGATAGATGTTGAAAAACGCAGCAAATCCAGTGAAGGGCCACCAAGGTAGTCAGGGAACACACAGCATGTGGGGAGATGGTGAAAGACCTGCATTGGCTTGTTTTCATGAACAGGAAGCTCAGGTAGGGATTTTGTTGTTGTTTTTCTAATACCTAAGAGGTGGCTGTGCAGAAGACTTCTTGGGAATGCAAAACAATGCAAACATAAATAAACAAACCCAACAAAAATAATCACAAAAGCAGTCAATACAAGCTGCAGGAATGGAAACCTGATTAGATACAGGAGAAAAAAAATTAAGCTGAAGAATGCCATAGCCCAGGGAGGCTGGGGATTATTTACCTGTGGGTGTTTTCAAAACTTGCCTAGACAAAATCCTGAGTAACCTGATGTAACTTCAAAGCTGGCCCTGTTCTGAGCAGCAGGCTGTACTGGATAAGCTCCAGATACTGCTTCCAATGTAGTTACTGTATGGTTTATGTGCTGCAGTCCAAACAGGTGACTTTTCCATATTATTTGAATATTCAGTGGGTTCAGTATTTTCAATATTGAAGTCTCTAAAAATTCTGTATAAATCAGGCTTTTAAAATCTTGGTTCTTTACTTCCTGTGCTGAGGGATCTTATCCACATGTATAATTGGAGCATGCAGAGTCTCTTCTGCTTTCTGCTCATTTTGTCTGGCACAGGTGGAGCTGGAGCAGCCTGGTGATTGGAGAGTCAAACGTGACACTACTGGTGGTTAGGTGAATACGGAGGATGTAGGTTTGTGCCTGTCATGGTTCTATGTTTTTGTTTTTTTTTTTATGGTTTCAGTATTCCACATCAAAACATCATGTAGTGTACGGGGCATTAAAGTGTCACTGCCCCAATCCCAGCTACCTATCCCTATACATTACAGCAGTCACGGGATCTGGCCCTTCCGGGTGGGGGGGGCGCTCTCTTCCTGCCTTGCAGTGGGTGTTTGAGGGTGCTTTCCTAGCCGTTCCAAGCTTTTCAGGTTTGAATCGGTCCCGGGAACTCTCTCTCTCTCTCATCTTGTCTGATTTATTAATCTCAATTTCAATTAAATTGTATATATTGTGTTATCTTGTACTCCAATATTATAGTAAAATAAGTTTTCCTCCATAGATTGTTGCCGCTGCTCTTTTCCTCCCTTCCTTCCTTCCCATTTTTGTGGGACTGGGGTGGGGGGGGAGGGCAGAGGCCTGTCGCCCCTGTCACGGACATAGATTGATCTGGTCAACTCCGTGACAGATTTTGGCGCCCAACGTGGGGCTCGCTGCTTTTTAGCTGTTAGAACGAATCTCTTTTTCTCTCTGCTCTTAGAGAGCTTCGTTAGGGAGCATTATCAGTAGTTCAGGTTTCTGTGCTGGAAAACCTGACCTTGAAAGATTAGGCGTACTGCCAGTGTTCTGGGATATTTGTAAACTTTGAGCACTACTTAGTCTGGGTAGTGCCTTTTTTCTTTTTTTTTTTTTTTCCTCCTCTTGTTAGCTTCAATTCATTAACCCCTTTTTAGCAAGCACCAGTGATGAACCCACTCGTTATCGTGGGGGTGCTGTGTAAAGGATTTAAAGCAATGGTGTTAGTCACAACCTACTGGCCAATAATCCATCTCATACTTACGTGTTGTGGAATTGCATTCATATATAACTACCTAAGGGCACTGATGGAGACACCTATGTTTTACCTACTTGCAATGTGGTATGATTTGAACTTTGACATTTACATCCCAGAAGGAATGGCTAATTTCACAAACAGCTACATCCCAAATGGAATAGCTAATTTTACAAACAACACAATGTTCAGACCAGTCTCAGGGTTTTCTTCTCGGTTTGTCAAACGTTTTACGAGTCTTGAATTAATACTCATGTTGTTGTTGTTGTTCGTGTCATCAATTCTCCTGAGTGTACTCCAACGCATTCATAATAAGGAGTCTTCCCCAAAACTAGAGAATGATGACTGGCAGGGAATATGGAGAGGTTTAGGAAAGGTCTTAGAAGCATGGGGACCCGCAGTGTCATGGGATTTTACTCTTGAACACCTATGGGATCCTGAGAAACTAAGCCAGTATTTGAGTCAGGGACTATGCGGCTTACATAAATCTAAGGAGGTACAACTTCTTTGGGGTTTGGCTTGTGCTTACCGTGCCCTATATAATACCATTCTGGAGAGAGAGAGTTTCCGAGCTGAGGTTCAAGCTAAAGGGGAAAATCCCCAAGTCAAATCTAATCAATCACAGGAGACACCAGTAACAATACCAGTTGCTCCTGTGGAGGGCAAGAAATGGAAACGAGTGTCTTCGCGTCTTGAACGAAAAAGAGAAGAAGAGGAGGAGGAGGTGGAGGAAGATCCAGGCGAGGGGCCCTCCTCAGCACCACCACCATCGCGAAAGGCAAAAGGGAAAACTAAGAGACGTGCAGAAGAGAGTGATGAAGAGGAAGTCTCTATTACTACTCGCCGGCCTCTAAAGATGACTGAAATCCAAGGTTCAAGAAAGGAGTTTACACGGCGCCCGAATGAAACTCTTGTTTCCTGGTTGGTTCGCTGTTGGGACAGTGGGGCCCATAGCTTGTCTCTGGATGGTAATGAAGCTCGCCAACTTGGTGCCATTGCCAGAGATCCAGCTATTGATAGAGGAATTAGTCGATGTTCGGATGAGGCTGCCTCCCTCTGGGAACGAGTGTTAACAGCCGTGAAGGAAAAGTATCCCTTCAAAAATGGCTTGAAGATTGCAATGAAAAAATGGGATACAGTTGAAAAGGGTATCCAGTATTTGAGGGAAATAGGCGTGGTGGAAATGCTGTATGACCCTGACTTTGTTCCTAACGACCCACAACAAAACCGCGACCCTGAAAGAGTGAGGACAACGCCTGAGATATGGCAGAAAATCGTGACAACAGCGCCGGACAAATATGCCTCTACACTGATGTCAGCGTGTGACAGATTCAACGAACAACAGAGAACGCCCTTAGTTTATGAATTAATTGTTACGCTCCAAAACTACGAACAATTGCTGTCCCCGATTCATGCTGCCGTTGCTGCGATATCAAAAATGACGGAGCAAGTGTCTCAACTGATTAACCGCGACAAACCTGTAGCAGTATCAGAAACGCTTGATGAAGATCAGGATAATCAAATGAGTCTATTGAAGGAGATGAAGGAGATGATGAAATCTATGCAAGCCCACCTAACTAAAGATGAACAACCTTCCTTCTCACGTGCACCATCAAAGATCTCAGCTGTTAGAAGCAAACGCTCTCCAGCTCAAGTAAGGGGTAATACACCGCGAATTGCCTTATGGTATTACCTACGTGACCATGGAGAAGACATGGGGAAGTGGCACGGTCAACCTACTCCTCTACTACGAGCCCGGGTGAAAGAATTACAAAGCAGATCAACCACCAGTGCAGTTGCTCCAGTTACCACAGGTAATGAATAGGGGGGCCCTGCCCTCAGTCAGGAGGGGGAAAGGGATAATAGAGTATATTGGACTGTGTGGATTCGATGGCCTGGCACATCAGAACCACTGAAATATAAGGCACTGGTGGACACTGGTGCACAGTGCACTCTGATGCCCTCGAGTCACCAAGGGACAGAGTTAATCCATATTTCTGGAGTGACCGGGGGCTCTCAAGAATTGACTGTGTTGGAGGCTGAGATAAGCCTCACTGGTAAGGACTGGCAAAAACATCCTATTGTGACGGGCCCAGGGGCTCCATGTATACTAGGTATTGATTATCTCAGAAGGGGGCATTTCAAGGACCCTAAGGGGTATCGATGGGCCTTTGGAATAGCTGCTGTGGACACAGACAACATTAAGCAGCTGTCTGTTTTGCCTGGCCTGTCAGAAGATCCATCTGTTGTGGGGCTGCTGCGAGTAAAAGAGCAACAGGTACCGATTGCTACAAAAACGGTGCACAGGCGTCAGTACCGCACCAACAGGGATTCTTTGCTCCCCATTCATAAGTTAATTCGTCAACTAGAGAGCCAGGGAGTGATCAGCAAAACTCACTCGCCTTTCAACAGCCCCATATGGCCAGTGCGTAAAGCCAGTGGAGAATGGAGGCTGACGGTGGACTACCGTGGCCTGAATGAAGTCACACCCCCTCTGAGTGCTGCTGTGCCGGACATGTTAGAACTCCAATATGAACTGGAGTCAAAAGCAGCCAAATGGTATGCCACCATTGACATTGCTAATGCCTTCTTTTCCATTCCTTTGGCCAAAGAATGTAAGCCACAGTTTGCTTTCACCTGGAGAGGCATTCAGTACACCTGGAACCGTTTGCCCCAGGGGTGGAAACACAGCCCGACCATTTGCCATGGGCTGATCCAAACTGTATTGGAACAGGGCAGTGCTCCTGAGCACCTGCAGTACATTGATGACATCATTGTGTGGGGCGATACAGCAGAAGAAGTCTTTACAAAAGGAGAGCGAACGATCCAAATTCTTCTGAGTGCTGGTTTCGCTATTAAGCGAAGCAAAGTGAAAGGACCTGCCCAAGAGATTCAGTTCCTAGGTATAAAGTGGCAAGATGGCCGTCGTCACATCCCGACAGATGTGATCAACAAAATCACTGCCATGTCTCCACCCACTAGCAAAAGAGAGACACAATCTTTTCTGGGTGCAGTGGGCTTTTGGAGAATGCATGTTCCAAACTACAGCCTCATTGTAAGCCCCCTTCATTATGTGACCCGAATGAGAAACGAGTTTACATGGGGCCCTGAGCAGCAGCAGGCTTTTGAACAGATTAAACAGGAGATAGCCCGTGCTGTGGCCCTAGGGCCAGTACGGACGGGACAGGGTATAAAGAACATCCTCTATACCGCTGCCGGAGAGAACGGTCCCACTTGGAGTTTGTGGCAAAGAGCCTCAGGAGAGACTCGAGGCCGACCCCTGGGATTCTGGAGTCGGGCGTACAGAGGGTCTGAAGAGCACTACACTCCAACTGAGAAGGAGATCTTAGCTGCATATGAGGGGGTTCGGGCTGCTTCCGAAGTAGTCGGTACTGAAACACAGCTTCTTCTGGCACCTCGACTGCCAGTGCTGAACTGGATGTTTAAAGGAAAGGTTCCCTCCACCCATCATGCTACTGATGCCACTTGGAGTAAGTGGATTGCACTGATTACACAACGAGCACGGATGGGGAACCTCAGCCGTCCAGGAATCCTAGAGGTCATCATGGACTGGCCTGAAGGTAAAAAGTTTGGAACACCACCAGGAGAAGAGGTATCACGTGCTAAAGAGGCCCCACCATACAATGAACTACCAGAGAATGAAAAGAAATATGCCCTGTTCACAGATGGATCGTGTCGTATTGTGGGAAAGCATCGCAGATGGAAATCTGCTGTGTGGAGCCCCACACGACAAGTTGCAGAAGCCACTGAAGGGAAAGGAGAATCAAGCCAATTTGCAGAGGTAAAGGCTGTCCAACTGGCCTTAGATGTTGCTGAACGGGAGAGGTGGCCAATGCTCTATCTTTACACTGACTCGTGGATGGTAGCGAATGCTTTATGGGGGTGGTTACAGCAGTGGGAGCAAAATAACTGGCAAAGAAGGGGTAAACCTATTTGGGCTGCTGAACTGTGGAAAGACATTGCTGCCCGAACAAAGACTATAGTTGTAAAGGTGCGTCATGTAGATGCTCATGTGCCCAAGAGTCGGGCTACTGAAGAACAGCAAAATAACCATCAGGTAGACCGAGCTGCCAGAATTGAGGTGGCTCAAATAGACCTGGACTGGCAGAACAAGGGTGAATTATTTCTGGCTCGGTGGGCCCATGAGACCTCAGGTCATCAAGGGAGAGATGCAACATACAAATGGGCCAGAGACCGAGGGGTGGACTTAACTATGGATGCCATTGCACAGGTTATTCATAACTGTGAAACATGTGCCATCATCAAACAAGCCAAGAGGATGAAACCTCTGTGGGAGGAAGGGCGATGGCAAAAGTACAAATATGGGGAGGCATGGCAGGTTGATTATATCACCTTGCCACGATCTCGCAATGGTAAGCATTATGTGCTTACTATGGTGGAGGCAACCACTGGGTGGCTTGAAACCTATGCAGTACCCCATGCTACCGCCCGAAACACCATACTGGGTCTCGAGAAACAAGTCCTGTGGCGACATGGCACCCCAGAAAGGATTGAGTCAGATAATGGGACTCATTTCAAAAATTCTCTTGTAAATACTTGGGCCAAAGATCATGGCATCGAGTGGATTTACCATATTCCCTATCATGCACCAGCCTCTGGTAAAATTGAACGATACAATGGATTGTTAAAAACGATGCTAAAAGCACTGGGTGGCGGAACATTTAAGCACTGGGAGAAGCATTTGGCAGAAGCCACCTGGTTGGTCAATACCAGAGGATCTATCAATCGTGATGGTCCTAACCAATCCAGTTCCCTACATACCGTAGAGGGAGATAAAGTCCCTGTTGTACATGTAAAGAACATGTTAGGAAAGGCAGTTTGGGTTCTTCCAGCTTCTGGAAAGGGCAAACCTCTCCGTGGTACAGTTTTTGCCCAGGGACCAGGATCCACTTGGTGGGTAATGCAGAAGAATGGGGATGTTCAATGTGTACCACAAGGAAACTTGATGCCGGAGGAGTGCGGTTACTAATTCTATGTATATGTATATAGTCACGTGTGCATTTTAATCATTTTTTTTTTGTTTGTGTATATATATATATATATATATATATATATATATATTCTAAGCATGATGTAACGATGTAGAATAAGGGGTGGAATGTCATGGTTCTATGTTTTTGTTTTTTTTTTTATGGTTTCAGTATTCCACATCAAAACATCATGTAGTGTACGGGGCATTAAAGTGTCACTGCCCCAATCCCAGCTACCTATCCCTATACATTACAGCAGTCACGGGATCTGGCCCTTCCGGGTGGGGGGGGGCGCTCTCTTCCTGCCTTGCAGTGGGTGTTTGAGGGTGCTTTCCTAGCCGTTCCAAGCTTTTCAGGTTTGAATCGGTCCCGGGAACTCTCTCTCTCTCTCATCTTGTCTGATTTATTAATCTCAATTTCAATTAAATTGTATATATTGTGTTATCTTGTACTCCAATATTATAGTAAAATAAGTTTTCCTCCATAGATTGTTGCCGCTGCTCTTTTCCTCCCTTCCTTCCTTCCCATTTTTGTGGGACTGGGGTGGGGGGGGAGGGCAGAGGCCTGTCGCCCCTGTCACGGACATAGATTGATCTGGTCAACTCCGTGACAGTGCCCTAAGAAGTTGGGTATCTAGGCTTACCTGAATGTGGCAAACTAGTAGTGCCAAGGCCTGGGTACAGATACGGTAAGATCTTCTGTTCTGTTAAATTACACTGCACTTGTTGCCATAATTAGTTGTCTTGGCCCGACTGACACTAACAGTCAGCCCAGAAACTGGTTTAAAGTTGTATATGGGACAGGGTTGATTCCTATCGTGTTTCACCACTATTTTGGAAGGTAAGAGTATTTAATAGTATTAATGTTGGTTGTTCCAACACAGTTGGCCTCAGGGCCTGGGAATGGGACGGGGAAGTTTTCATTTACCAGCAAGCATGCGAACCAAACAGCATAGGCTGGTCCTTAGCACAGTTAACACACAAACAGGAACAGCAGCGTTAGGACCCACTCTGCCAGATGAAGCTGCGTGACTCTTTGCTTGGCCATTATAACTTGGGCTCCATTGCATTGGCTGGTGGGACTGCAAAGAAGCCATAGCAGGGTCTCACAGCTGTCTGTTGGCAGTATGGCATTTTGGTTTTGGTGGGTAGCATAGGCAAGACTGTCTTCTCCTGGGGAGAAGCTTCTACCTGAAAAAGATAGCAACAGGATTATGCTCACGTGCTATACTAAATACAGTGAGAAAGAGCCTGCTGCCCGGTGCTGTGACTGGCTGACATGGTGTCTGTGTGGTGAAATCCTCTACCACGTGCCCCTGCTCTTCTCCTCAGAATATCCAGGGAAGCCTTCTGCAAACTGACAGTTGGAAACAGCCCTTGTGATTTCTCACGTTGGACCTCTGCAGTGTCTGGCATAATGCCACTTGGCAAAATCATGCTCACAGGATAACTCTTAAACTTGGTGTGTAAGCATTCAGGCCTTGTTTGGTTTTGTAGTGCCAATGAAGCTGTTAAGGTCAGTATGGATCGAGATTGTAGCTTTCTGCATGGGAGAAAGGAGCTTGTCAGTACCAAGACGTGACTGATGGTGTCCAGAGGAGCTGGTGATATCGTCACGTTCGCGTACAGCATATTCAGTGTGCTGACTCTACAGAACTGGGTCCTGCAGAGTCAATCCAGCCTGCTGAGCTGGAGAGCAGAGCCTGCGGCTTGTAACCATTGAAACTACTTGTTCCTACAGGAGGAGAACCCAAAGGCTGATGATCCCAGGACCAGCCGTTGAAGATGTGTGGGTAATTCCTCATCCTCCCATGGAGTGTTGGGGAGTGAGGCCACTGCACTGCCCTGGAATGCTGTCTGTTTTGTGTGGGAACCAAAACAAATAAAAAGAATAGATACCCTCCATGAAATCTTATCTAGTGAGTAGACTTGATGACTTTCTCTTACTGGACCTTTGACGAAAACACAAATGCAGATGTTTCTGTTGGAACCTCTGGCATTTGTTGAACAGCAGGTTGCAAGGGGTGCCCTCTGTGAGCAGAGCCCCGCACTGCCCCATCCATGTCAGATCACAGCCAGCTCCAGCTGCTCCTAAGCGACTGCCAGTGGCCAGAGCTGAGCCCTGAGCAATGCTGGGTGCGCTCTGGGAGAGCAGACTGAGGAGAGGGAAAAACTGCTGTGCAACAGCAGCGGGGAGAGAGGATGAGAAATGGGAGAGAAGCAGCCCTGCAACCCCCAAGGTCAGTGCAGAAAGAGGGCAGGAGATGCTTCAGGTGCAGAGCTGAAGCTCCCTGCAGCCCAGGAGCAACTCCTGCTCTCTCGCTCCATGTTCTGAACCAGCCAGCCCTAGTAAGTCTTGAGGAGTAACTCAGCCCAGTGTGCCATTCC